CGTTTCAAAATGCGTGGGCTTCAAACTTAAGTCGGTGCATTCTATTAGTTCACCACTAGATGGCCCTAAATTTTAGACACTGTACCTTTAAAAAAGCGTGGCCCAGGGCACGATCTCGGGAATATGGCCGTTGGTTGTGTGAGGGCCTAAACGCGGGTTTTGGCCGACTGCAGCTCCACACAAAACAAAACAAAACAACCTTTTTCAGTTTTTGATTTTTGATTGCCAATAGAAAATGGAACTAGCAAATGATAAATAGATTGATCAACAACAGTGATCGAGAATGCGGCGTACTAAAGATGAGGAAAGAGGAAGAAAAAGTGGGCCGGCTCCGTAATCCTGATGCAGCCCAAACCGGTTTGTCATTGCGCACTTCAAAGCGTACATGATGAAATCCCACCCCCCGAGGTATTAGAAGAGGGCTGTCATTGCACGCCCGTCCTCGCCTAATGCTTCATCAAGTCAGTCGGGCGCCAGTGTGTGGGGAGAACATGTGCCTCGACTGCTTGTACGGTCTCCGCAGCTTTGGGTGACGGAAATCTTTTAAGAGTTTCCAAGGAAGAGGAGGCTTTCAGCCAAGGAGTTTGGGGCTCACTATGTGCATATCAGCCCCCTACTGTAAAAGCAGAGATTCCTTCAGTGCCTCAAAGCGCACGAATCGGACTGCAGCCAAAGAAACAAAACGTCTTGGATGGGTGGATGATTTTACTGAGCTGACAACTGAGCTGTTGCCTATCTAATCCATGACTGGAGTCCAAGCTTTTGCCGAGACTGGACCTGAACTAAGGAGAAGCAACACAAACTAGGAGGTGACTAGCTGGGATCCAGCTGAGTTCCCGATGCAACAATCGGAACTGCTTGTGTTCATTCTATTGGGAAATAACCTCACGTCGGCCTCTCACGATCATTAAAACGTCACGGTCGAAGAAAAACGGTTCATGCGCCGAATGGCGGGCAGTGTGCTTGCAACTTCCGGTGCCGTGAATGATTTGGATGAATGAGTCACGTTGCTTGCAGCCAGCGCCGGCACGTTATGTGATTCTGGCGTCCCAGAGCGTGCGTTAAGCTGTTCAATGACCTCCCCCAGTCGGCATTTACTCTAAGATTAAACGGCCAGCAGAAATGGTGACATACGTTGGATGTCTTACTACACTACTCTGTTTTTAGTACACAGCAGTTGTTTGATGTTGCAGCATGAGGAAATACATCGAACTCTGCCGAGTGAGGCAGTCTGCAGGTCGGCGCGGCTTTATTTTTTTGTCGAAATGCCGTTTTAGTGTCCAGATTTCCTGCTTAAATGAAAAAAAATGAAATAAAATTAGAAGGCGGCGCACTTTATTGGTCCATAATAGCGTTTGACACCTGTCAGTTAATAAGTTCAAAAGGGGTGCGTGTTTACTCCGCTTAAACGTTGAAGTGCATGAATTGCTTTGCTTGATCAGCGCTCTGAAGATGTTTCCATCTCTCAAAAGGGCAGCGAGGGCAGAAGACGCAAACGTGGACGAAAAAAAACAATCACCATGCGCTCGCTCTATTAGCGCCGATAACGCAGACAGTGGGAGAAAGTTTGCCAGGGAGGAAGGGAGAAAATGAAAGAGATAAATGGAAAGTCCGTCTCACTCAGAGCCGCCGTGATAAGGTTTATCTCCGCTGGCAAACAAGTTGGCCCGGTCGGCGTCTCGGGTTACCAGCAAGCTGCGCCCAGTCGCGGGCTGAGTCCCTACAGAGACGCACGTTGTTTGTGCCGCGCCTGCTTTGGAACAGCTTTTCTGTCAGAAATGATTTGGACCCCTTTGGTCTTTCAATACTTTCGCAATGTTTTTTAAGTATCAGTGCAGAGTATCGGTGTCCTTCACGGCCAGTATCAGGCCGGTACTGATACCTGGTACGCCCATGACGGATTATTTATTTGTTTATGAGTATTTTTTTATTTTAAATGGCAAATTCCTTCCTTTTCGATGTTCTCTAAGGGAGTTGGCCTGCCAGAAGGCGCTGGAGAACGAGAAGCTTTTGTGCGGTGAGGAGTTGTGGGTGTCCCAGAGGTGAAGAAGCAGATATAGAAGAGGTGGGGTGGGTTTGAAGGGGGGGGGGCTACTGCTGAGTTAAGCCCCTAATCACCGTCTGCTCTGCATGAAGGGCTTAGAGTCACTCCATTTAATGCCACCTTCTCTTTAGTCAAAAATGGGAAAGTAATACTGCCGCTAATGTGCAGGCAAGCCCCAAC